GCAACGCGGGACTGGAGCCGCGCGGAGCCGCGCCAGCGGTAACAACTCCTGACAGCCCCAGCCGGATACTTCAGCGGAGCCCGGGCGGTGCGAGCCTCGTTTCCTTGGGAGCTGGGAGAAGGCTGGCTGCTCCTTTCAGCTTCACGGGATTCGTTTCCACGGTAGACAAAAGTGCCTCAAAAAAAAAAAAAAGTGCAAAGTGGAAGGCGTGCGGAAGAGGGGGCGAGTATATAACAAACTATATTTTGAGTGGAAATGTTGGGGGGTCGTCTTATACGCCGGGTCGTCTTATACGCCGGCATATACGGTAACTCATTTAGGTATTGCAATAAACAAAGATATATGTGAATAAAAGAATTGCAAAAGCAATAAACAATAAGAAAAGAAGCCATAATTCTTGATTAATCCTGATATACTTTAGGAATTATCATCAACTTTTTAGAGTGATATGTATATCTTAAAAGTTGAGTGTTTTCATGTACAATTTTACCAAAATGGCTGCTGTGGTCGGCATATCCAATTTACTGAATGCAATTCTAAAAATATCAGAAAGATTCGCTGATGACTTTGCTTCATACTATTCCTCTAACTTTCCAAAATTGTCTCGATAAACTCAGCTTATCATTTTTCTGGCCACAATTCTAAACTTGATTGCAATATTTAAATTCTAAGAATTTTTCTGCTTGACCACATTGGACCCAGAAACATAGATGGAAAAACTTAGTACAATCATTAATTAGAAACACACAAAACATCAAAGAGCATAACATAAAGCATACATTCCTAACCCATAGACATCATGCATAATTAAAATCAGAAGAGCTCTACAAATCATTCAATACAATTATAATTAGCTAGAAAAGAAATGTTGAATTCTCAGTGGGGAATGCTATAAGAGGAACAATATAGGAATGTGTTGGCTGATTCCAGCTCTTCTTTCCCATATAGGCATGGTTATCAATTTGAATTTGACTATATCTACTTGCGACCAAAGCTGGTAGGAAGGTCTTAGTAAAAATCTTGTCCACACAAGTGTAAACAAATAAATTAATTTCAAATTAAAAGGTATTCTGTAGCAGTATGCCTTTTCAGCCTAACTCCCAGACTTTAATACCAAGGCACCTGTGTTGAGTATCTTTATGGCATGGCGCCTTAACCTGCTGCTTAATCATTGCCTTAGCTTTATGGAATTCGTGATTGACACAAGTTCTAGCTAAAGACCAGAACTTTTTTTTCTCCAAGAGGTTCCCTAGGTAAACTGGATGCTATTATGTAGAAGTAGTGAGGTCAGACCAAATAAGGAAATGACCCTATTAGTCAAACATAACAAAATAGTTAAAAGATACAAAGCTGAAGCTCCCACATCAGTTACTCTAAACCATGATTATACATGGGATGTTGAATTTAAGACACAGCTTAACAATTGGACTGAATTTTCCCTTTTGTAGAAAGTTATACTTCTTGTAAATAAATTCTAGAATTGAATGGTGGCTTCAGCGTGAAATATTTGGTGGCAAAAATAAATATTGGCCTACTTTTGCCCAATAAGAGCTAAGGATAGCTTTTTTGAGCATTCTTAGCTGCATATTTAGAGTGTGTCTTGACAAATAACATATTTTTAAAACAGCTTTTAATATTTAAAAAGCTTCCTTTTGTGCTTGGAGGGAATTTGCAGGGAGGGAAGCTTGTAGTTGCCTATTCCTGGAAGAGATAGAAATAATGTTAATCTACCATTGATCCTAATGTCCTAACTGATACTGGTAACTTTGAGCATTCTCTACCAGCTTCATCCAGGACATCATATCTAGATATTGCTTATTTAAATGCCATCTATATAATTTGTGCAGAAATATTCTTATCATAGGGAGTGTGATAGCTCAGTGGTTAAAGACTCTGATCTTGTTAGCTGGAGAGCTGACAGCCCAGGTTCAAGACCCAAGCTCCATGCAATGGGTGAGTTCTTACTACTTGCTCCAGCTTCTGTCCACCTAGCAGTTTGCAATGCAAGTAGATTAATAGGCACCACTTTGGTGGGAAAGTAACAGTGTACCAGGCATCTTTGGCATATAACCATGCAGGTCACTTGACCACATAAATATCTTCAGACAATGCTGGCTCCCTTGGCCAAGAAATGGTGATGAGCCCTACAGTTGGACACAACTGATAGAGAAACCTTTATCTTTACTATTCTTATCATGCTTGAGGCCAATGCTATCTTTTGTAATTGTCTGCAGGGAAGGGGCACACGTAAAGGGCAAATTATAACAGGTGCCTGATGATGTAATTACACAAATGACATCACTTATATGTGACTTCATCATGGTTTGTTTTTTTTAGAAAATGATATCACACACATGCCATTAATTTGACAGTAGGTTCTTCTGGTTACCACTGGTATGCTAAGTTCCTATTTTACAAAGATATCACACAATACATTTAATAAAGAATCAGGTAGGACAAGGTATCTAATAACTGTGTAACATATACCAAGGACAAGGTTATCTAATTACTTTCTCACAACATGATTAGATTAGCACAATCAAGAACAATTGCATTTACATTAATGAATAACTAACATTTACATTTGATCTCCTCATGCTGCGGATACATATATAGTCTATAGTCCCTTTAAAAAGAAGGAATTAATGCACTACAATTCTGAAAATATCTGAATGGGGGTTGGACTGAAGTTAAGATGCCATGCAGGGAGAATAATATTTAAGTGAGGAAAGGGCAGTAGATTCATTAATAAGATTTGTATTTTCACTGCATTAAAGGAAGGAAGTATTTAAGGGATTTAAGGATTTGGGGCTTGATGTAGCAAAATATTTTGCCTATGATTGAGTTCTGTAAAGTTGGTGAAGATCTGATTATTGTAGTATTCTGTCTTAGGAAGCAAAATCTTTTGGGCCATCTCTGTAGAACAGGAATGAAAAAAAGACCTCCTTTTTTGCCTTCTGTTTAAAGTTTGTCCACTCTTGTATATTTGTAACACAGCCAAAATTGATATCTCTAGTTCAGTCAAACTATTTATACAACTTAACAACAAAAGAGACTTAATTTCATTCTGATCAGCTGGGAAGACTCTTAGGGATATATTACATTCAATTCTATTTCTGTATGTTGTATGTCAAATGATACTTTAGAAGTGCTCAACCTCTGTCTTGACTCAGTCTGGTCTAGATAGAGATCGATAAACTGAAAATGAATCCTGGTGGCAATTCATAGACCAGGGTAATTGTTTCAGATGACCTTGCATTTTCTTTATAGAACTAGATGCACAATTTAGAGTGCTTCTTAATCTACCATTGACCCTAGAGACCAACTGATACTAGTAACTTTGAGCATTCTCTATCAGCTTCATCCAGAACAGCAGCAATAATATTTGCTATGTGGAAAACAATTTTGCTCTAGGAATATCTGTTTGGCCCACTGTAATTAACATATTTGAGGTCCTGAATAGTTTAATTTTTCAAATTCTGCAGAAATTAAAATTTGAATTTGATTTCGATCTAGATGAAACTATCATATCAATACTTAAGGAATTTCATTGTCTCTCTGGCCTCTAATTCCCTTGGTATAGGAGTGAGATTTATAGTAAAAACTTAAA